ACCTTTCTTTGGAATGGGCACAAATACGGATCTCTTCCAATCTGTTGGCCAGGCAGCTGTCTTCCAAATTCCTCAGCACAGCGAGTGAGTGAGTGCCTCCAGTGCTGCCTCAGTTTGTTGAAACATTTCTATTTGTATTCCATCCATTCCTGGAGCTTTGTTTATTATGGCAATGCCTTCAGTGCAGATTGGGTTTTTTCCTTCAGTACCAATGTTGTTGTTAAGTGCCGTCAAGTCGGTTCCACCCAGAGTGACCATATATACAGTTTCCCAGGAGCAGCTGGTGAGCTTCAACCACCAATCTTGTTGTTCAAACCGACTTTGCAGTCCTGTGTCTCACAATGTTCTGCTGTTTTTCATAAGGTTTTCAGTGGCTACACATTATTCAGAAGTAGTCTGCCTCTACTTATTCCTAGTTTGTCTTAGTCTGGAAGCTCTGTTGAAACCTGTCCACTAAGGGGGGTCTTGCTGGTATTTGAAATACCCATGGCTTGGCTTCCAGAATCACAGCCACACACAATGTTATATGCTATTGGCATTAAATTCCATTGTAAAATGAGCTTGTATCTTTTTTCCTGATCATTTTATTTTATCACCATTCAGAAAACCATTAGGCAGCACACCTCTAGAATCTTGTTCTCAAGCAAGCATTCCTCTTACACACTTAGCTCTGGCACCATCAAAACATAACCCAGACATTGTACATACAGTTGGGTGCTAGCAGGATCTTCCCTAATGACATGGAGAGAGGAGACCAAGTGTACAGAGAAGAGTCTACAGGGGTTTGGGGTGCACAAGACAGCAGCCCAGCCTACTTACAGAGAGGTAACTCAGCTGGTTTCTAGACATGTTTGGTCTTATAGTTTTCCTTAATAGTTCTCCAAAAATAATTTCTGAATCCATTATGCAGGCAGTCCTTGGATTACAAACGAGGTCTGTTCCCAAGTGTATCTTTAAATCCGATTTGTAGATTAGTTGAAACAGGTGCATATGGTCCTTTTTAGCCTTACATGTATGCAAGAAAGTGTTGGGCTGCTAACCACAAGGCTGGCAATTCAGACACACCAGCCACTCCACAGGAGAAAGATGCGTCTATCAACCCCTGTGTGTACGCATGGCTGTTTCATGCATATGTAAAACGATCATTTTAGGTTTCAGGTTAGAGTATGGCATTTTATCATTAGATCCACTTTGGTAATTATATTACTGAAGTCTTCTGTCACTGGGCCATGTATTGTTCTGTTGTACACAAGGTCACTATAAGTCAGAACCTACCCAATGACATCTAACAACAACTGAGTATTCTATAGTCTTACTTATTTTTAGTCTTCGTCATGGTAAACACTGAGCTGCTTGCCACCAGCAGTTCAAGCTCAGAAACCCTCTACAGGGTCGCTAAGAGTTGGAACCAACTCGATGACACTTAGCAACAACAATTATATAATCCTATTAACTACTGAAAACATCATTCTCTAAAACTGTATTAACACAGTATCCCAAAGATAAGGAGTTGTTGTTAAGAGCCACTGAGCCGTTAACAACTCATTGTTGTTGTTATATGCCGTGGAGTCGGTTCCGACTCATAGCGACCCTGTATACAGTTTCCGAGGTTATAAATCTTTACGGGAGCAGAAAGCCTCATCTTTCTCCCGTGTAACAGCTGGTAGTTTCGAACTGCTGACCTTGTGACTCGCAGCCCAATTCATAACCCCTACGCTACCAGAGCTCCTTAAAGATGAGTAGGGGGTGGGAAAAACAAAAAAATCAGTCTATGTTTCACTATATGGAATTCAAAACTCATTTCAGGAAGAAAAGCATGCCAGTCCAGACAATATGGGTGTTAAGATGCATTTAAGAAAAAAGAAAGCGTTTGCATTTACCTTAACACCTTCTCCTTATGTAAATTTTACAATAATCTACACAATTTTAAAGGAAACCCTAGCCAGTCTAAGTGAGCCACTACATCTCAAAATGTTTAAAAAACACATCCTAGCAGTAATTACACTGCTGACTACCTGAAAATGAGTCACCCACACAGCTGATTAAAAGTCTCTTATGCAATCTTCCTCCAGAGGAAACAAGGACAGCATGTACAAATAGTTCAACCAGATCTACTTCCCTAAGAGACCACAATATACATCTGGTAGGCATTACCAATTTCTAAAAGCACCAAGAAAGGCAAAGGAATAATTATGAAGTTAAATTAGCCTCGTCATTTGGTCTAGCCAATTTCATATTACATCATTCACTTAAGAAAATACACAGATTTCTGTAGTGTCACTGGTTAATAAACAAAGCAAGGTCTACAGTTCTGATGTTACTTTGAAAGTTATAGGTAAACAATCACATTACCTGAAAAAATATATTAAGAGAGATTTGCTAATTGTTATCAGGACTGATTGTGACGGTTGGAAATGTAAAGGTAGACGTTTTATAGCAAGGAGGGGTATGATTAACTTTTCAGTCTAGGAGC